GGAAGCTTTATTTTATCTGTGATGCAATTCTTTGGAAGTGCAACATTACAACTCAACATTGCATTACCAAGTTTCTTTACAATATTCATGAATAATCTATGTTACAATGATAAATTTGAAACGCCGTACATGTGCTTTCACATGAGGGCACCGCAGTCTGAGCATGTTCCTCCGCAGAGCTTTACATATTGTATGAGTACATGTCCTTAATGTTGTCTTTGCTCCCCTGTGACCAAACTGATCATTATTTCCTCACAGATACCGTGCACATACAACTGTAGCACAAACTGGTTTGTCAAAGCTTTGTAACAGTACAACTCCTCAGACACATGCAATGTTCTGACCACATGTTTTCATGTATGAAAAGCATTAAGAAGACACTGAACAACAATGTCCTGTAAGGAAGAGTATTTATTGTAATGCAGAGTCAAATATGAACAAGCAGGAAAATCTATGGAACACTATTAAGACAATCCTGAATATTCCATTAATAAAAAGGTCAGCAACACCAAATAACATAAAAACAAGTTGAAAAACATCATAAAACTTTATATAGCTGTTGTGATTTTATTGCTGTACGCTGAAAATAAAACATTTGAGCTGCAGAGGAATAAGTTGACAATGGAGATTAGATTCTATATGTGAGACATATTCATGATACGTACGTAGCAAAAGGCAAATGTTCTAACTTCCCTTTTCTTTTTTTCCACCAAGCCGTTGTCCTCTTCAGCTTTCTTCACCATTTCCATATAGGTCACTTTCCACATCTGCATTACACACACAAATAAAGAGAGCACATGGATGTGTATAAATATAGGCAGACCTTTTTTGAAAGAGAATACAGAAACATACGTATGTGAAGGTAATATATAACCTGTTCTAGCAGAAGTAGACCATGCACAAAGGCAATGTTCACAGTGAACACAAGCTTTCCTCTTTGCTAATTCCATTGCAATGTCTCACATGTTGGGTTTCTTGCATCCGCCAAGGTGATCAAGTCTTCACCCCTATTAGTTTGTTGGTTGGTTGGGTTATTTCTAAGACAGTTTACACAACACTTCTGGATGAATTTGCATGAAACGTGGTAGAAGGATGTGGTTTGGGTCAGATAAGAACCCATTTCATTTTGGTGCAGTTCCGAATCAGGAGGCAGATGCAAGATGTTTTTTTCACTTTCTGTAACATTGCAATATAGGGCATTGTTTGAGTTTTTCACAAATTTCTAAAGGAATAATTAATGTAACTTAAAGAAAATAATATGATATATTTAGAGAACTGATATCTTTGAGTGTCTGTACTTTTGATTGGTCCTTGGTAGAGGTATGAGACCCAATGAGTTGTATTGTTGTTTTTCACTTGCAGTCAGTGTTACAATATGTAAAAATGACCACATCATAGTCCATCAACTAACTATTACAGTTAAATTAGACCTAAAACCTTCACCAGAGGGTCTTGACCTTCAACAGGAGCACTTGGCCTCGGATTTTGATGCATGGTATCTGTTTCAGCTCCCACATGTCCCCTTGACTGTATGAACACAAATTTAAAGCCCATTTGCTTTGACCATTATCTATCGACTGTCAAATCAATTTTATTCATATATCAGCTAATCATAACAGAAGTTAAGAGACAGCTTTACCTGATAACATGAGGTTCACTCTTGTCAGAAACCCAACATAGGCTCTTCACTCAGAACTTTGGGTAGAATAAACGGAGGCCTTACTCTAAATCATCTCTAGTGTGTCTATGTGAAAAAAGGGCCTCACAAATCACCACTCTTTAAAATACTATATCATTAAACAAGAACTGACACATAAATCTCGAGCAGTATATATTATCCCTAGGGGGTATATATATGTTTAGCACTGTCTGGCTGTCTGTCTCCCACCATGTCAGTCTGGCAGACTTCACATCCGGATGACTATTATTATGGCAAACATAACATTTGACAGGGTATCATATTTTAAGCACCATTATATAATATCCTAAATTAAAAGTCACTGTGTTTTTTATGAGAGGCTTAATGTCTACATGTGCAGTGTATTCTTAGACCTGAGAACATGCAAGGCAAGTGTATGTGGACCTGAATACAGAAAATACATAATATATATATATGTATATTCACTTCGTAACATTTATTGTGCAAGTAAAACAAGGTGGTTATATAATCAACAAATAACAGAAGTTGACTTGATCTGAACACTATTATCCAAGTGAGGAAAACATAGTCATATTAAAAAATATGACTACAGCTTGAACTAAAACAACCCAGTGAACAAATAGACTTGTGAAAGAGGAAATTGTGGTTATTGTGTATTATGCTTACAACAGCAGTTCGATAAAATTACCCAGACAGTCTGAATCGCTCATCAACAAACATTCAGACAGTCCAACTATATCTGTGTGTCATCTGGGGACCATCTCAGTTGTGAATCATCGTTACAAATCTGAACGCATATCTGTCAAGACACTCATTGATATAATGCATTCCCTAGCCCCTTACCCAAACCTTAACCATCAAAACAAAAGGCCTAACCCTCAACCTTAACCTAATTGTAGCCCTTACCCTAAAAACTAGTCTTAACATTGAAACAGCCCATTAACAGTGGGCCTGAAAGTGAGGACCAGCCAAAAATTTCCACACACACACTCATTATATATCATGCCATCATTTATACCTTACGATGCCACTCTAATCTTGTTGCTTGCAAAAGTTAATGTTATGCTACATGACATCATATCCTGACGTCATGGTGATGCCATTATGATGTCATTCCCACCTATCATAAATCACAATTTTTTACCTTTATACCGTAAGCTTTAGGTGGTGTCTCTAATCCCTCACAATGCAGAGACATGCTTAAAATTCCATTGTTGAATTATTTATGATGTCATTCTTCTGTATGAAGTCACTTATCATGTGACATCATATGACAGGTAATCATTTCCTGATAGATGTTCGCTTTAGATAGTCCTGTTATAAGTTGAGATATCTTGGGAAATGTGTATATTTTATTACCTTGGCCTTTACCTGATCAGCTCTGGAAGTTAAACATCTGCAGTGACTATTTCACCAAGTTTAGGAAAATCTGCCCATGCTTTGTTGAGCTATTTTGTCCACATACACACACAGATGGGCAAAATACTATGCTTCCAGCTAAGAAGGATAAAAATGGACAATTGTCCACAGTTCATTGTCATAGCCTTATCCCACCAAATGTATAATCCTCTGCCTTCTCTGACATGCTAATGTGACACAACAACATGGAGGAGGAAATGTTATTGGCCCGAGTATGCGCACACGGTCATCTCTGTGCAGTCCTTGTCATCATCCCGATGGTCACGCAAGTTCTGAAAATAGTTTTTTCTTTTCTTTATATTGAAAACATGAACACATGGTTACTTAATCACGAGTTCAAACGAGCCAAAACAAAAGCAGTCACCGATCAACGCAACCAACAATTCAGCTCATACAAAGATGATGTTGAGGGAGGGGAGGACAGAAGAAGGGATGGAAAAAAAGAAGCACTGTAACAGGAGAAAAGAGAGAAAAAACCCCAAACAAATTAAATTACATCCCCTTCCTGCCTCCCCCTTCTCACCCTTGTCTTCTTCTGCCTCCTATTTTCCACTCCCTTGTTCTGCTCTTTCTTTTTCAACTCATTTTGCTGCCTCACTTTCTCGTCAGTCCCCCCCCCCCCTCCGTTCATTGTGTCAGTCTCTGTCTCTCTCTCTCCCTCTCTCCCTCACCACGAGCAGACAGGCAGAGACAGGGAGGCTGTTGTTGTGCTTGCAGTCTGACACTATCGGCTCATAAATTCGTGTCAACAGCTTGTATGTCTCCTCTCCTCTCCTCGTCTCTCGTCTCCTCGCCTCTTCTCTCCTTTCCTCACCTCTTCTCTCCTTTCCTCACCTCTTCTCTCTTCTCTCCCTCCACTGGTGAAGGAGGGCAGGAACCCAATGACCTAGTGAGAGGTTGACTGACACAACCAAACTCAGACACACAGACACACACACACAGACACACACACACATGTATATATAGACAGACAGACAGATAGATAGCCACTCAGCATTTTCAAGCTGCATTTCTATGACTCCCCCCTCATCTGTCTCCCTCCCTCCTTGTCTTTCTTTCCCTCTGGCGATTTTTGTCGGCAGACAGTCGTCACTGACAAGCGCTTCCTGTGGTTGGGGGTAAACACCTGGGTAATGAGGCCACAGTGCACAACAACCACGAAAAAAATTCACAGCCTCACTCCGTTTGGATATATACTGTCTTCAGTCAACCAGGTCATACCATCACGTCCGAGCACATATAGTCACGTATTCACAAACATGCACACAATCCTGGAGAAAGAAAAGCTCCGACAGGAAATGCGCGTGCACACACACACACACACACACACACACACACACACACACACACATGCATACTGGATGCTTGGCTCAGACTGCTAAACAAGCAGTGAGCCAGCTCAGCTACAGTATGTCAGCCAAAACTCAATACCCAGACTGAGTTGAGGTGAGGGGGAATGAACCGAAGTCAGGCTTCTTCTGTTCCTCCACCGTCACTAATAGTTTATTCTCCAAACTTGGAAACAAATCCCACTCCGACTGTTGTCAGTGAGAAACTCGGTTTGAACAATTTGCAACACGTCTAAAGATGCTGACTGACTGCAGTGCAAAGTTGTGCTGTGGTGAAGTGCAGGACTGACTGCAGTGAAGTGTAGAACTGTTAGTCTGACTGCAGTCTTGCTAACACTTCATGTCACTGGTGGAGTTCTTCCTCTGTCAAACTGATGAGCCATTAAAAGGGTGTTTCACTGATCAATCTTTCCGTCTGCACATGTCAGTCATGACATTGTTAATCACTGATTGATGGATCTGATGATTCTGTATAAAAAAAGAAAAAGAAAATTGCAATTTGTGCAAAGCTGCCTGCCTCTGCATGCAGTGGCAGGGTCAGTTAGGTCTCCAGACTTTGGAACCGTTCAAACTGAACTCAGTGTGTAAATAAGAGTTTTGGAACAAATAGAAAGTGTATTTAATCTTTTGATTGAGCTCCTCTTTGAGGTATATGAAAGTGTAAATACACCCTGGGTCTATCTGTGTAACGGAGATGATACCAATATAAATCATTTAACCTGCATGTGGATTGTGGAGAAACACAACAACTCATTTTATCAATCATGTTTTCTTGTTGTTTCTTTAATTTTTAAAGTTGCAGAGTCTTGGCCTGTAAGACGACTTAAGAGAATCACTTTGAGGCAAAAAAAGAAGATGGGCAATTTACCCAACAACTACAACCAATGGTACATTTTGATGCCACTCTCGTTCCATACAATACACTCTTATCCAAATAAAATTATCCAACAGAATTGCAAACTTCTGCTTCACTGCCTCATAATACTGAGTTCACATCAAAGTCTCAAGGATGTTTCGTGTCAAAAGCATAAGAATACAAGTGATTCACTCAAGAAACTTCTTATTGTGTTATCTCGGGACAGTACGGCGCTGCCTGCATCTCATGTGTCACTGGAACAACAGGGAAGCCTGTGGTGAATCATCAACTCTGCCAGACGAAAAAGCCTTTGAGCTGTTTTAGTTTCGCAGAGGTTTTGTTTCGCAAAGGACATCATGCAAAGCTTTTGTGTTAAGTGTTACTAGCTGGCATTCTGCACACTGTGTTGAGTATTTGTGCATACTGTATATACACATGTACATGTGGCAGTGACTGGCTCTGCGCAAGCGTGTGTGTGTGTGTGTGTGTGTGTGGG